GTCTCGCTGTCAGAGACGAAGTTTGCGAGGCTTCCAGATGAAATTCGCTCTCTGGGGTTCGCTGCAGAGTGACAGGTTGCGGGGAGGGCGGTATAGATGCCGTGGGCCGTGAGCTGGCACCTGTGGGGTGGGGAGACGCCCACGTGGGGCCTCCTGTCTGTGCTCGGAGCATCTCCCCGTGAAACCTGCGCCTGCTGCGAGCGCTGCGTCTAAGTTGAGCAGGAGCCACTCACGTAGCCGCGGTTTCTCTTGCAAGTTTCCCATGCTGGCCACGCACCGCTGTGTGTGCACGGCCTTGCCCACCAGCTCATGTTCCTGAGTGTGGGGGAAGGCTGGCGTGTCACCCCGAACACCAGCGCAGGCTCCGCACCCTGCCCCAGCGCAGCTCTTTCTGTCGTTGCTGTCGCCTTCTCCCCTCTGTGGCCAAACATGGCTGAATTCCAGAGTTAGCGCACAGTGCTCCTCGATAGTCGTATCTCCCCGTCTTACTAACTAGCACTCAAAAATGTGAATTGTCGTTACTTTAAAAAGTGTCACCGTTTCGGTGACGGCCCTTCAGTGCTGTGAATAACCCTGCGCCATGCACGTTTTCCACGAGTCACATCGGCGCCGGCCTCCTGGAATCGCTGGTTTAAAAGAAATGCCCGTTTTCAGAGCTTGCCACGCTTCGCCGCAGTGGCGTCCCTCGAAGCCAGGGTGGGCCGTTTGTGCTCTCCCTGGACTGGATACGCAGCCCTGTCTTTCAGAACTGCATTCCTATTTTTAAGGTGTCCTAGCCAGTTTGAAAACCAACCCTTAGTATATCTCATCTCCTTGCGTTCCTGTGACTACTGGTGTACGGAGGATCCCCTGGAGGCTGGGGGGACGCTGACCGGGCCCTGTGCGGACACTGACCGGGTGTTGCTCCTCCCCAGGACCTGGAGGAGCAACTGGACGAGGAGGAGGGGGCCCGGCAGAAGCTGCAGCTGGAGAAGGTGACGGCGGAGGCCAAAATCAAGAAGATGGAGGAGGAGATCCTGCTGCTGGAGGACCAGAATTCCAAGTTTCTCAAAGTAAGAGCCCCGGGCACGGGTGTCCCCGGAGGGCCCCTCACCGCGGGTGGCTGTCACAGAGACCTGGCCACTCCAGGCTCTCACTGTGCGCATTCCTGAAGACGTGGACGCCATTGGTTTTTCCTAAGCCCTCCAAGTAGCCATAGATCTTTTGGATTTTTAACCTGTGCATTGCGTATGTGACAACGCCTCGCGTGCGGTTTGTCCTCCGACCACGCAGCCGGCCCTGGCGGGGGCACCTGCGCGAGCAGCCCTGCATCGCAGGCGCGTGCGCTCGCAGGGAGGCAGCACCAGCGGCGCTCACCGACTCCGTAGTCAGAGAGACGGGGCTCCTGTGAGTCATCGCAGACCCACGCCATCCTTTCAAGTGTCACACTTCTGTGAGCAGTCGGGTGTTTTTTTCCTGTTCAGGAAAAGAAGCTCATGGAAGACCGCATTGCCGAGTGCTCCTCTCAGCTGGCTGAGGAGGAGGAGAAGGCAAAGAACCTGGCCAAGATCCGGAACAAGCAGGAAGTGATGATCTCGGACTTGGAAGGTCGGTGTCTGGGTTCGGGGCGCCGGGTGCTGAGTCTGAGCTAAGCCACGTCGCTCGCGCTGTGACGCGGGGCCTGCTGCGGGTCTCCTGCAGGTGACTCAGCGCTGACGATGGCATGGCGCTGGCACACGTGTGCCTGCTTACCCCGCTGCTGGGATGAGGGTGCGTGGCTGCCCTCCAGCTGGGCCGTGTGTGCACTCTCATTAACCGCACCGGGGTGCCTGGGTCTCACACCCCAGGGCAGCTGGCTGCGGACGGCACCACCAGGCAGCCACGTCTCACTAACGGCAGAGGTATCGCCAGTGATGTCATTGAGCAGAAGAAACCGGAGAAACGGGAGCTGGGAGGGGCCCTTCCCTGGGCTACTGGCTAGAGCTGGGCAGCGCCATCGGAGGGCGGGGGGCAATCGCTGTCGGGGTGCAGTGTGGTACGGGACGTGCCCTGTTGAGGGTCTGGTTTTGTGGTGTAGACAGAAGAGGGAAGGCCCAGGTGAGCTGGTACACTGTTCCTGTGCCACGCCCACAAAGCACAGGTGCCTGTTGGACCAGCCAGTGGTCTCATGCCCTGGGCAGACTGACTCCTGCCCACAGCAGGAAGGCATTGGTGCCAGTGCCGCCTATCGCCAGTGTTCACTAAGGGGTCCCTGCAGAGGGACAGAGGAAAAGAGGCGGAGCCATGCTGCCCCCGTGCTTGGCGAGGATTCCGGGCCCCCGGGTCTCCTGTAGCGTGCGCCCTCCCCATGGAAGGATTTCCGTGACTGGCCAGCTCCCCCTGGCAGTGCCGTCTGCACGTGGGGTCACGGCCCCAAGGCGCGAGGCGCTGTCGGGTGATACACTGTGTTTGCGAGGTGTGTCTCCCAGGGTACACGAGCTGCTTCCCTCCCACCCGCAGAACGCCTGAAGAAGGAGGAGAAGACTCGGCAGGAACTGGAAAAGGCCAAGCGGAAACTGGACGGCGAGACCACGGACCTGCAGGACCAGATCGCCGAGCTGCAGGCGCAGATCGACGAGCTCAAGATCCAGCTGGCCAAGAAGGAGGAGGAGCTGCAGGGCGCGCTGGCCAGGTCCGCCCCCGGGCCCCGGGGCCCCCGTCCGGGTCTCCTGTTGGGAAACCTCAGCAGAGCCAGGCGCGGTTCACTCGCTGTTGGCTTTGCTTGTGCCAAGGCAGCAGAGTGCACCTGATGGCCCCATCTCGGTCCTTTAAAAAGAAAAATTTTTTTGTATTTATTGAAAGGCAGAGTTACAGAGAAGGAACGAGAGAGGTCTTCCATCCACTGGTTCACTCCCCGAACGGCCACAGTGGTAGGGGCTGGGCCAGGCTAGCGCCAAGAGCTTCTTCCAGGTCTCCCATGGGCATGCAGGGGCCCAAGCACTTGGGCCAACTTCCACTGCTTTCCCAGGCCATAGCAGAGAGCTGGATGCGAAGTGGAGCAGCTGAGACTTGAGCCAGCACCCATATGGGATGCCGGCGTCACAGATGGTGGCTTAACCTGCTGCGCCACAGTGCCAGCCCCACCTATCAGTCTTCAGACTTGCTGGCCACATACTGGAGTCCTGGGACATGCTGTCACCGTGTCAGATGTTTGCGTGTCTGTGCGTGACGGGTTAACGAGTACAGCCAGGACCACGGTGGGAAATGATTCACGGTCATAGCTATGTGTCTTCAGAGCGCAGTAACTCTCTAACGTGTCATTCCTGTATGGAGAATCCCTGGCAACATGGTCACAGCGCTTGGAGTTTCATTTATAGTTCAATAGAATCGAGAAAACCCCGTAACGAAGCTCGTCACGGGCCTCTCAGTGACACCTGGAGCGGGGTGGGCTGCTGGGCTCGAGAGCCGCGTGCTCCCAGCCGCCCCGCCCCGCCCCAGGCGTCCCGGCTGCTCCTGCTGCCAACGTGTTCAGCCCCAACGCGGGCAGGAGCTGCTCTTTGGAAAGAGGCAGGTGTGGAGCGCAGAGAGAGGCGTGCTCGGCTCCTCGGCTCCTGTGCGCGCTCCACAGGCGGCCGCCGTGCGCTGATTGGCGTGGGCTGGGCGCCACCCCTGGAGGGTCGCCTCTGGCACTTCTCTGGGAGTCCTTTGCCTCTTAAGGGACAGTCAGAGCCTCTGAGGCGGGTAGGGTGGCATCTAATTCTGAGTCTGCTGCCACTCGCTTTGAGGCTAAGGACCCCTAATCTCAGCAGCTGCTGCAGCTCTGGCCAGGGCAGAGGAGGTGTCGCGGGGTCCCCCGTGGGGGCGCCGGTCCGGGCACCGTCTCAAGGCGGGTGTTTTCACAGAGGTGACGACGAGACACTGCACAAGAACAACGCGCTTAAGGTGGTGCGGGAGCTGCAAGCCCAGATCGCCGAGCTGCAGGAAGACTTCGAATCCGAGAAGGCGTCACGGAACAAGGCGGAGAAGCAGAAGCGGGACTTGAGCGAGGAGCTGGAAGCCCTGAAGACGGAGCTGGAGGACACTCTGGACACCACCGCGGCGCAGCAGGAACTGCGGTGAGTGCGGGGGCCGAGCGGGGGCTGGGTGGTGGCCACACCCTCCCTGGAACCCGCACTGGCCACCCCGGGGGCGACGTGCTTCCTGATGCCGCTCGTGGACCTCTCCCGCCTGGGCACCACGGCAGGTGGAACTGTGATGAGCAGACTTGCCCGCGGGGACAGATACCTGTGCAGGGATGAGCGGTGGCCCAGCAGCCGGAGACGTTCCGCAAGATGTGACCAGTGACGCATGCCTAGGGAGACAGCGGCACACAGGGCAAGGGCTGGGGCGAGTGGCAGTGCCATGTGGGGACAGTGGCTGGCCAGCAGAGGAGAGGGGCCTCCCATGCACGGTGCGGAAAAGCGGGGAGCACAGGTGGGGCTGAGCCTTGAGGAGGCACCTGCAGTGTCAGGAGCAGCGGGAGGGCAGTGACAGGGGAGGGTCACAGGCAGGGACCTGCGGGGAGCAGGGCGGTCTGCAGTCACGGGCGGCGTGCACCGCCCTGGCACGTAGGTGTGGTTCTCACATCAGTCGCAGGGACTGTGGAGACGCTCCTGTGTGCTCACTGGGCCTCTGCCTCACCATCTGCTTGGGTACCAGGGGACACCAGGACTCACACACACAGGGTGTGGTCAGGGAGGTAGGAAAGAAGCCAGGGCTGCCAGGAGGGCGGGGTATGGCCGTGAGGGTGCAGCCATGGAGGGGACAGCCTACAGAGTAGCGCTGGCTCAGTGGAGCAGTGGAGGGGAAGGGCTGGGCCTGCCAACGATGTCGTCGTGAGTGTGGGCATCTCCCGGGGCGCAGAGGCCAGCTTGTCCGTGCCGAGACCCACCTGAGCCCAGCAGGCCTGGACACTTCCTGTGCCACCTCCAAAGAGCAGCACGCTCTTCGTGGTGGCACGGCCTGGCCGCGTCTTCAAGAGGCCTGCTTTTGATTTTTGTGTGTTTTTGTTTTTGTTTTTCTAAAATCTGGAAACAGTTGAACTAGACTTTATCAAAATCTCCACTCTTGACTGGGGGTTTAGCCACAGTTTTTTTAAAGGCTCTCATCATTTTTTCCCATTCAGCTCTTACGAGGAAAAAGTGCTAAGTGTGCATACCTATTGAAGCTATGCACATGTTCAACTGCAGTACTCCTGATTCTGTTTTGTGAAGAGTGTATTTGTTGATTTTCATTTTACTTGATAGGCAGAGAAACAGAGATGTCTTCCATCTGTTGGTTCAGTCCCCAAAATGTCCCCAACAGGGCTGGGCCGGGCCACAGCCCGGTGCCTGGAATTCAGTCCAGCTCTCCAGGTGGGGGGCAGAGACCCGGTATTTGTGCCATCTCCTGCTGCCTCTCAGAAGCAGAGCGCAGGAGCCAGCACGCAGCCAGAGTCCAGAATGGGACGCGGAGGTCCTGAGTGGCAGCTTTTTTACCCATCGCTCCAAACACCCGGCCCCGTGTGTGGGGTGAATGCAGGCACCCGTTCTAGCGAGGGCTGTCCCAGAGCCGTGTCCACCCGTTAGCATGGAAGGAACAGTCCCCGGCCAGCCAGTTCCTCTGCAGCTTCCTTTAGGACGTACGGTGCCAGGCTGAAGGAATTGGGTCATTTAGCTGGAGGAGAGAAGGGCAGGGTCCCTGCGATGGCCAGATTCCAGGAGGGATCCGGAACGAGCTATACACCCGAAAGACGGTGAGCCGACGGCGGGAGAGACCCTGCTGAAGGCCGCTAAGTCCACTAAGCTGGCCACTCGGCACACTGAGGCGCTCTTGCCGGAAGAGCCACAGAGGGCCGGGCCATACCCCTAACTGAGCCAGGAGGGTTGGGGCTGAGCTGGGCCCACAAGGAGCCCCCAGACTGCCTCAGTCCGGGCTCCACTCAGCCACAGAGCTGGCAGCGCCTGGGGCCTGGTCCCCTTGGCACAGCAATCTCAGCCCCCTGGATCTCCCTGCTGCCCCAGGAGACGGAGGGGACGGCGTCCAAACAGAGTTGGGCACGGAGTCTCGGCTCTCACGGCCCCGGCTATAACGCGACCTTAGCAAAGAGGGTGTTCCCCCGACAGCTGTGAGTCGGCATCGTGCCCTGAAGCACACACTGAAGGAGTGAATTTGCTTCCGGTTCATGAAGTGCCTTGAGTTAGTCTGCGTTAGAGCCACGTATGAACATGGAGAGCCATTTGGTCCTTGGACCCCAAGTACAGGCCAGAGAAAGCCTCCGTTTCTCCAGGTCTGTGCTCTTGCCCCCTGCCGTGTTGGCATCAGACCCCACCTTGAGAAGCAGGAATGCGACCCGTCATCCTGTCCCTCCAAGAGACCGTGTCCTCCTCCCGACAGGGGCCGGGGCCGGGCACCGCAGGCACTGCCCAGGAGCGCTAAGCGGGAGGCTGGCGTGGGTTCCGTGCTGCAGCTTCCAGGCTGATTTGGCTTTTGCCAGCTGTTAGGTTCTGGAAACCTTCTTGGTTTACTTTGAAGTCTTTTGGGCCTGTGGCAAGCCGAGTGAACCTGGGTGTGGGGAGCAGCCCGGACTAGACTGAGTTACTGGAATTAAGACTTATTCTATGCATCTGCTCTCCCACAATATGGCGCTGGGAGAGAAGTAAACAGCTTCCGCACAGCTGCCTCCAGTTCAACTAATAAACTGTAGGACTTGCTATTGATTGGAGGAGAGCAGCGTACTCGGCGTGTGGGCAGCCGAGTTAGGATTGGCGGAGGAGGACTATAAAGGAGGAGAGAGACGGCATGCACGAGGAACATCTAAGGGGAACATCTAGCTGAAGGAACACCTGTGCAGCCCCCGAGAAGAGCCGGCCAGCGGTGTGCCGCTCCCCTGCGGAAGTGGGGAATGCGGCCAGGGGGAACTGCCCTTCCACGGAGGTGGAAGGGATAGTAGCCAACCCGGGAAGAACCAGCAGCAAACCCGGGGAGGGCCGAGCAGACGAAAGAACAGCGCAGGGTTCAGTGTTGCTCCTCCACGAAGAGGGGGAGCGACACCTGGGTCTTATGTTAGCCAATTCCTGACCTTTCATGCAACCAGATTGCCAGAGCAGGCTGAAGACACACAGGGTGTCATACCGTGTCCCCACTGCAGTCAGACACGGGGGTCACACCACGTCCCCACTGCAGTCAGACACGGGGGTCACACCACGTCCTCACTGCAGTCAGACACGGGGGTCACACCACGTCCCCACTGCAGTCAGACACGGGGGTCACACCACGTCCCCACTGCAGTCAGACACGGGGGTCACACCACGTCCCCACTGCAGTCAGACACGGGGGTCACACCACGTCCCCACTGCAGTCAGACACGGGGGTCACACCACGTCCTCACTGCAGTCAGACACGGGGGTCACACCACGTCCCCACTGCAGTCAGACACGGGGGTCACACCACGTCCCCACTGCCAGTCAGACACGGGGGTCACACCACGTCCCCACTGCCAGTCAGACACGGGGGTCACACCACGTCCCCACTGCAGTCAGACACGGGGGTCACACCACGTCCCCACTGCAGTCAGACGTGGAAGGTGTGCTGCTTCTAGAAGGATCCTGATACCCCACGTGGACACGCCCACTGCCTGGAAGTAGCGTGTCACTCATTAAAGGAACCGAGGTCGTGGTGGCGCCATTAACGGCACTGTTTTCGTTTAGTCGGTGACCGGTTCTGATCTTCCTTCTTTAAAACTCCGTCTCTAGCACGAAACGTGAACAGGAAGTGGCAGAGCTGAAGAAGGCTCTCGAGGAAGAAACTAAGAACCACGAAGCTCAGATCCAGGACATGCGGCAGAGACACGCGACCGCCCTGGAGGAGCTCTCGGAGCAGCTGGAGCAGGCCAAGAGGGTAGGCCAAGAGCAGGCCCGCAGGCCCGCGGCCCCGGGAGACCGCCCCCGCGCTGACGGCCGGCCGCGCACAGCCGCTCCCAGGGCCGGAGCGGCTCCCTGCCAGCACGCTGCCTTCCTCAAGAGAGCAGCCGTCGGCCCTGCATAGCCGTCACCAGCCGTCACGCCCTGCTTTCCCTGGCGTCCTCGTCCTCCCATGGCTCAGCTCGTGACCCCAGTGGCGGCCACTCGGGCGCTGGCGCTGGCACTCCCTCACGGTGCTCTTCGCGGGCCCTTCCCATCTGTGATCTCACTCGGCCTCCCTCTCCCCAGACCCCAGCCACCCTGGGCTTGCTGCCTCCTCCTCCTCCTCCCCCTTCCCCCTCCCCGTGCCGGGTTAGTCCTCCCTCCCCGCCTTTGCACCGTCTCTGGTCCCCCCTCTTTCCGGGCTCTGCTCTACCCGCACCACCCTGTAGTTCACAACCCCGACGAGCGTGACGCTGCTGAGCGCTGACAGCCCCCATGCATGACACCCAAGGTGGGCAGGGGCGCTCTGGTGCCCACCTAAGAGGGAAGGAACTGAGGCCCAGGAGCGTTGGGTGCTTCAGCCGGAGCCACGCAGTGGGTCAGAGGAGAGCCAAGCGGTCTGGCCTCGGGACCCATTGTTTAGACAAAGCTAGGCGCGTGGCTTTTACAGAGGCAGCGTGAGTGAGCAGTGGGCCTCTGGATGGGACGCACACGGACAAGGTCAGCTGCCAAGGGCCCTCCACAGGGGCGCCTGCTTCCCCGGGCAGGGTGCGCACACGGGGGCCTCAGAACGCTTCATACTGAGACAGCGACGCTGCTTTCGTGCGCTCATTCAACAAACGCCGGCCGCAGGCTTCCTGCGTCAGCCCTTCTGGGGATACAGAAAGCAGCATTGTTCATGGAGAGTTGCAAAGTGACTCACAAGTGATTTTCTCCGTCCCTGTTCTAGTTCAAGGCAAACCTGGAGAAGAACAAGCAGGGCCTGGAGACGGACAACAAGGAGCTGGCGTGCGAGGTGAAGGTGCTGCAGCAGGTCAAGGCTGAGGCCGAGCACAGGCGCAAGAAGCTGGACGCGCAGGTGCAGGAGCTGCACGCCAAGCTCTCCGAGGGAGACAGGCTGAGGGCGGAGCTGGCCGAGAAGGCAAGCAAGCTGCAGGTAGGCACTAGACACAGACGAGCAGTGTTTGCTGAGGCACTAAACCAGCACGAAGGGATCGGCCTTCCGCCCAACGAGTGCCACCTGGGACAAGTGCGAGCGCAGGAGGCAGGAGGCTGGGAGCGGCACAGCGCCCGTGCACACGGCGCATCCGTGCTGTGGTCCTGGGCCCGCGGGACGCAGCAGAGGGCGCTGTGGCCGAGCTCGGGCCGCCTGCCCCGGGCCCAGCAAGCGCACAAGAGCTGCGTGTGCGTGTGCGTGTCCGAGGTGGTGCTGGGTGGGCGCTTGGACGGCCTCTCCGTGCTGCCGTCTGCGAGCGCCCCGCGACACACAGGGTGGCCGAAGTCCTCGGCTGAGTTGGCATCTCTGGGTGCACAGCGAGTACCGCCGTCCAGACTCTGCCTTGGAGCTGTGATTCCGGACTCGTGTCATCACGTGTTTTCATTTTATTTGAAAAGCAGAGAGAGAAAGAGACAGAGAAAGGTCTTCTGTCTGCTGACTTTCTCCCCTAAATGCCCACAACAGGCAGGGTGGGGGGGGGGTGCCGGGAGCTTCGTCCTGGTCTCCCACGTGAGAGGCAGGGCCCCAGCCATTTGAGCCTTCCGGGCGTTTCTGGAATGAGACGCGGAGCTGGGCTGCTAGCCCTTTTGCTTGCTCACTGTTGAACTGAACGACCGCTTTCTCCTTGCAGAATGAGCTGGACAACGTCTCGGCCCTCCTGGAGGAAGCAGAGAAGAAGGGAATTAAATTTGCCAAGGACGCCGCCAGTCTGGAGTCTCAGCTACAGGACACACAGGTGCGCCGCGGGCGCCGGGGGCGGTGGCACAGAAAGCGTTGGCGGGTCTGAGCTGCCAACCTGCGGGACGCGTGAGCCCGGGGGACGCTTCCGCAGCGGTTGCCCCTGACTGTCGGCATCGCGCTTCGCTTTTCCCTGCTGCCAGGGAGCTCGCCGCCGAGCTGGGCCCCTGGGTCTGGCAGGCCTGTGGCGGACTCTTGGGGGCCCGGCTCTGGCTGACCCTAGCAGTGGTCCCCGTGCACAGTCTCGCTTGCCATTTTCAGTAAGGCGACTTTGTCGTGGTCGAGATTTCATTGTGCCGACCCCAGAGAAACGTTTATGAGACCGTGGGCTGAGGCACCTTTTTGTCCTGTCAAGACTCGGACCAAATCGGCTGTCGGGATTGTCAGATGCAAGCTAGCGGCAAATAAAACGTGGCGCTTTGTTCCTGGGTTTACGGCGTACTTCACTTGCAGGCACTGATGGTCATTTGCCACACTCGGTTAGGTGTGGGATCACGAGGCCATGGGGACAAGTTCAGGGTCCCAGGGCAGAGGCCGTGACAGCTCAGCGAGACTCCGAGAGGGGTGAGGGCCATGTCACGGAACGTTCTGTCCAGGCCTGAGAGCAGCCGGCAGGCAGGTTTGCGCTCAGCCATTAGGGAAGCTTGACGGGTGGCTAGGTTATGGGGAGGGGGCCGTGGCTGGGCTGCCGCAGGGTGGTACAGAGGAAGGGGCTCAGAGGTGTTGATGAGCGCACGGGCTATGGGTGCACGAGAGGGGGCCTTGGGCTGCCCCCGGTCTGTGGTGGCCGGGACTGCCACCCTTCAGGTGTTTGTGCCAAGAGCTTTGGCATTGTCTCCACCGCCTGTGCTGCATCTCCCTGAGGACGTGTGTCGTGAGAGGTATGGTGTTGTGACGATGAAGTCTGCACCCGTGGCACTGACCTTGGCCAAAACCACCCAGGAGCTGCTCCAGGAGGAGACGCGCCAGAAGCTGAACCTGAGCAGTAGGATCCGGCAGCTGGAGGAGGAGAAGAGCAGCCTGCAGGAGCAGCAGGAGGAGGAGGAGGAGGCCAGGAAGAACCTGGAGAAGCAGCTGCTGGCCCTGCAGTCCCAGGTGTGTCCTGCGGGAGCCGCACCGGCCCAGATGGGGACAGTTGAGGCGGGCGCGCTCAATCGGGCCGGGCAGGGCAGGGTTCATCGTCGACGGAGCCAGATACGGCTGTGACCCTTCACCGTGAGGACGAGGGGCTGTGTCAGCTCTGTGAGGCTCCCACCCAGCGTCACTGTGGAGGCGGTTAGCTCAGGAATTCCGTGGCACTCTCAAGGTTCATTTGTTTTTAAATCCTACAGTGTTGACTTTATGATGTTTTATTCTCAAAAATATTGCAAACCAGAATTTTTTCTTTATTTTTCAAATGGGAAAACGAGTTGTGTTCTTTAACGTTGATCTTTCTTTCTTTCCTCCCACAAAACCCAGTTGGCTGACACCAAGAAGAAGGTGGACGATGACTTGGGAACCATTGAAAGTTTGGAAGAAGCCAAGAAGAAGCTGCTCAAGGACGTGGAGGCCTTGGGCCAGCGCCTGGAGGAGAAGGCCCTGGCCTACGACAAGCTGGAGAAGACCAAGACCCGCCTGCAGCAGGAGCTGGACGACCTCACCGTGGACCTGGACCACCAGCGCCAGATCGTCTCCAACCTGGAGAAGAAGCAGAAGAAGTTCGACCAGGTGGGTGGGCGCCACGCGCGCGCCCTCCTCGCCAGGCTCCTGCTCTTTGTGTTTGGGGTTAAAGGAATTTTTTTTTAATCATTTATAAGCAGGCAGAGAGTAACACATATTGCTATAAAAATTGGAAAAAGCAGAGTAAGCCCCCCTGCTAATTCAGTCCTGTGGGCAGTGGACGACGGCCCAGGTACTTGGGTTCCTGCCACGCCTGGGGGAGACCAGGACGGAATTCCTCACTCCTGGCTCTGCCTGGCCCAGCCCCGGCTGTTGCAGACATTTGCAGGGTGAACCAGCAGAAGGAAGATCGCTCTCTCACTCTGCCTTTCAAAAAAATAAATCAGTCTTTTTGTTTACGTGAAAACAGCAGACACAAAAATAAGGAGATCAAGTATCCAAAATGCCTGGGACCAAAAAGGTTTTGGATTTTATGGGTTTTGGGTATTTTCAGATTTGGGAGTATTTGCATACACTATGTCTGCGCGTGCAGAATGGCTCCCACATCTGTACCCAGAGCTGACTCGTGTGACATGTACGATGCTGCCTGAGCTGACGCAGGGAGGACTTGCAGTGACCTACCTGGGTTTTGACCGTGACACATACTAGGGGGTCAGGCATCACGCCGGGGCACGGAGAGTCTCGGACGGAGCTGAGGGCTGCTCGGCCGGTAGCAGCGGTCCTAGCGACGCATTAGACAGGGAGTGGTCAGTGGTTGGTCTTCACCGTCCGCGTGCCTCTTCTCCTAGCTATTGGCGGAAGAGAAGAACATCTCTGCTCGCTATGCAGAGGAGCGGGACCGGGCGGAAGCAGAGGCCAGAGAGAAGGAAACCAAAGCCCTGTCCCTGTCGCGGGCGCTGGAGGAAGCCCTGGAGGCCAAGGAAGAGTTTGAACGGCAGAACAAGCAGCTCCGCGCGGACATGGAGGACCTGATGAGCTCCAAAGACGACGTGGGGAAGAACGTGAGTTGCCCTCGGGGGCTGCGGGGCTTCACGGGGGAGCCAGGTGACTCCTCGGGAGCCCCGGGATGCCACGTGACCCCTGCGTGACGAGGGCCAGCTGTCAGCCTGGCGCTCTCGCAGCAGTGCTGGTGGGTGACGGCTGAGTCCGTCCGAGGGAATCGGTACAAGGGCTCATGGTCCTGTGTTCCCAGGCGGTCGTAGCGGGGTCTGCTGTGGCACAGAGGAGGCCCCGGGGGAGCAGG